TTGAGAGTTTCATATGTAATACGTATCATGACCTATAAAACTTCGCTCAATTATTCATTACTTTAAGAAAATTTATATTTATTTCATAATTACACATTGTTTTAAAAGGGTTTTAAGTAGGATTAAATTATTAGAAAATTTTGTCTTAGTCAAATATCTTATAAAAAAGATTGCCCCTTATTTCTCAGACATATATATCAGACATGAAAATGTGAAGGGAGGGGAAATCCGTTTTGTTTATTATTTAAGATCTTACTTTTAATTGGAAACTTGAAATATAAATTACTGACTAGTTAAGCAAAAAGTCATCGAGTGGATTTCCTTACGAATCGTCGAGAATATAACTTAAAAGTACACAGAATTTTAATACAATTGGCAGAATCAAAAGGAATATGCGATGCTTCCTCGCAACATATGTGTACTTGCTAGGAAAACATTTTTACAGAAAACAGGACTCGCGTCAAATTACTAAACAGGCTTACAAATACACTGGTGTGCAAAACTTAAGCAACAGGTGGGTTTATTGCCATAACTTCACGAAAAATCATCTGAGAGACATGAAATTCTGAAATGAGGGAGAGTATTATGTACGTAAAGGATGACGAAAGCATCGGCGCTGAAAAGGGAAAACAACGCATACGGTATGGAATCAAAAAAAACAAGCTTTATTGAACGCATAGTATCGAGACTCTTGATTGTCTATCCAACAGGAAGAACAACAAAGCAGATGTTCCTATATGGTATATGCCCTCCCCTTACTACAATGGTTGCTTTGCACCGTCTCCGCATACTCAGAACCAGCTGGTGCACATTTCTTGAGGTAGGAGTGCTCATTCCTCAATCAACATCTGTTTGAGTTGTTGGTTGTACTCGGATGATGTGAGGCGTGTGGCAATACGTCTCCCCCAAAGCATCCCACACATGTTCGATGGGATTTAAATCTGGGGAGCACGCTGGCCAATCCATTCGAGTGATATCTTCACTTTCCAGCAGCTCCTCAACAGCAAGAGTGCGATGTGGCAGTGCATTGTCATCCATAAAGATGAAGTCTGGGCCAATAGCACCTCGAAAAAGATGCACATGGGGAAGAAGTACCTCCTCACAATAGAGATCCCCGGTTACAGACCCTCTGTTGAAAATGGGACGCTCAGTTCCGCCGTTCAGCATAATGCCAACCCAGACAAGAACTCCAGGACCACCGTAACGATGTCTTTCCTTGATGTTACTGGGATAAAACCGGGTCCCGATCTCTCTCCAAATCAAAACGCGTTGAGAATCACTTCTGGTACTGAACCGACTCTCATCCGTAAAGAGAACACGACTCCATTGATCAGTTGTCCAGTTTTTGTGCTCTCTGTCCCACTGTAAACGGTGGCTTCGGTGGCCATCTTTCAACGGGAGGCAGCGTTCAGGACGGCGGTGAACAGGCCCCCTTTGTGAAGGCGTCTGGCCACAGTAAACCTCTACACTTGTCGACCTGTTGCTATACAGAGTTTCTGAGCAATGGCGCTTGCAGACTGCTGTCGAACTTTTTCGCCTGCAGGATGATATATCGGTCATCCCTGCAGTTGTCGTCCTCGGGCGGCCACACCAACCTTCTAACGGCTGTACCTGTGGTTTGGAACGCTTTCCAAGCGCGCGAAACGACACTTTTGTTGATTCCGAACTGTGCAGCTACACTGGTGACAGTACGCCTCTCATCCAGCTTTCAGATCATTCTTCCACGTGTGAAGTCTTCCAGATGATTTCTTCTAGCCATATTTCACGGAGCGACTCACTGGCACTTGCAGAGAATATGATGAATTGCGTCTCCGTCCTTCATTTCATTCTACTGTAGAGCAGCGCGCGACATCACGCGTTTTGCGTACGCTCACATCGCTTCTGACGTTTTGTTCCTGATATTTGCATACGCATGACGTTTCTACTGACTTACGTGTTCCCTCTACTGATCTACAGACCTCCTTTTCTGCAATTTCATGGCTATCTGCTAATTTTTTACATTGTTGCTTAAGTTTTGCACACCAGTGTAGGTTGCTTTACAATAAGGTAAGACGTACGATACGGGTTTCATAAAAAATAATAATAAATAAATGAATAATCCTTTTCAATTGAAAATAAAAGAATTAAAAGTGTAGTCAAAACTTTTTTACAAAATTTTCTCTCTATCTGTGGAAATAAGAAATAAGGGGCCCACTCAGGTAACGCCAGTGTTATTTGATTATTGTACGACTACTAAGATGTATTGTCAACCTTTTTTGAAGAAACAAAAATTGGAAATACAAGAAATTACAAATGATTTTATGATGCTTTATTAGTTCAATTTTGTAGATGCGATCACCGAGTATATAAGTTATATCATCGATTGCTAATGTAACTTTATTTTGTAAACAATGCTTTAGCAGAGTTCCCTGCTCATAGCGTATTATTATACAACTGATTGGCTTTAAAGTGCAATTAAACGACGCCAAAGAGAGAAATTGCATCTCAAATCCTGTATATAAAGAAAGTCACGCAGCGTGATTCTCCTTCGGAAATCGCATTTAAATGTTAGTTGTTTGCGAGAAGATCATGTTGTGTGTCGTATAAGGTGGAGAAAGTGAAGTGAGAAAGATTCAACATTGGTAAGACCGCAGCTTATTGAAAGGGAAGTTTATCGTTACACGATATTGCTAGTTGAATTAGTCAAAAATCCAACGAATACGATACAAATATGGAATCAATAACTTCAGGAAGGTTATGCAAGATATCGATGGCTTCCCGTCATTGACGGCCTCATCTTAGCTTTCGAGGCCTCAGGAACGTCATCTTTCAACAAGATAACACAAATCCGCATTGATACCTGCCATCTTTTGACCTATTTCGGCGCAGATGTTTTTCGATTATTGCATTAGCCAGCACGTTCTCCAGAGATTTCTGTGACATTTAAAAGATATGTTAATGGATTATTGAGAGACAGGGCTAGCACACATGCATTCTCTACAATGGAAGAAGTGTGGCACTGAGTTGAAGCAGCATTTAACGGCTTACCCGTATATGTTATCCAATTCCATTTTAGCCTGACCGAGTTAGAGCTGTTTTAGCTGACAGAACAAGGCAGCGGTTTGTAATAACTTTGGACCCTGTATACTCCGAGTCTTCAATTTCAATCACGCTTTCTACCTATACTGCTTGTATACGTACAGTAAACAAAATTTCGTTAATTGTTTTCCTTCCCGGTATTGAGCTTTAATGGGTTGGCAGTGAATAAATTACATTATACTCTCTTCAAGAAGCATGTTTCATGTTCGCGTTACTAGTTTGGTTCGAAGTAACCCTTATTTGGCAAAATAGTGTCGACAAAACTGCCATCCCATCAAAAAATTTAAGGTGATATTTCGTCTTAAAAAATTTATTCATAGGAACTTCTTGGCAAATGTATAATCTCTTACAATTAAAAGCACCAGAAATAAATTGTGATTTAAAAAATTAGTTTTTGAAATATATTTTGTAATATCTTAATACATTATTGAATGATAAAGATCCCTGCAGATATCGTGTATTTTTTCTTTTTTTTTTATCAAAGCATCTGTCGTTTGAAAGGAAATAAAAAGAATTACTAATGCAATAGCTAACCAAAATAATTTCTTTTATTGGTAAATTAGAAACAAGTTTCAATTGATCAATACTCCACATCCTTGTCAAAATAAAAATAAAAATACAGATATAAATCGGATTTTTTTAAACAATATTAGCGTATAAACGAGATTAAGGGAATACGTTTTCTTAAGGAGAAAAATTAAGAAACAGAGAATGATTTAATAAATATTTCTTTTTATTAAAAGAAAATCTTATTCCAACATATACTTTACCTTTTCATTCATAGCTTTTATAATTCCTGCGTATGTAATGTTTAAATTTGTTTTAAAAAATATTCTATTTATATATTTTAATACTGCTGTAATGAACACCAATAAATCATATAAATGATTTACATTTTTACTTACTCATGCTTGCTTTTTTAAAAATCATCTTACGCTTTATAATGATTTCTCCTATTACTATAACTTACCTTCCATTTTACCTGTGACTTTGAATATATGTAAAAGTTTATATGCATCAAATTTTGAATGCATATTTGAGCACCGAAAGCTTTCTAAAACGCCATCCGGTATTCTACCAAAGTAACAATGAGGAGTTATTTTTTAAAAAATAAATATGTGTGTGGGAAGCTTACATTAAACCGGGAAAAAAGTATAAAAAATTCTGAAAACTGGAAAAAGATTTTCTGCAAAGCTTTTTTTACAACAAGAAGTCGAAACCCCCTCTTATAGGATGCCGAGATTAAAATTTCTCGCGCTCAGTATTTTGTAAATTATTAAAAAATGCTTTCAATCTGGGATTATCGAAAGAATGGAAAAGGAGAGCGAATAAAAAAGGCCGATTTCCCTCCCAAAAGAAAGTAATAATCCAACAATAGAGGAAAATAGATTCCTTTCCCTCCACGACATGAATATATTGTAATCCTGATGGAAGCAGGGTTCATAGATTACACTCCGGAGGAAATGGAAGCTATTTTAAGTTTAAATAGAAGCGGCACAAAGGGAGGGATTCTTTTCCATTTGCACAAGAAATCGTTCTGGACCCTTGATTTGCTTTTTCTCTTCTCAATTTACGTTGTTATTTCAATCGGTGGGGAAATCTCATTTCCTTAGCTAGAGGTAAGGAAGGTAAGAACTAAATTTTGTCCAACGCAGTATTTTCTTGCCAAGGAATTAAGTGCTGATCTGGAGGAAATGCATATGAAATGTATAGAAGTTTCTTTTTTAATAAAAGAAGAATTCTGATAAAAAATTTTTCCGAGTAAGAGAAATGGAAATTTTTAAGCACATTTTCAAAAATTGCAAGCTATTTACTAGATAGATTGCACTGTTTTAATAGTTTTTTTAGTAAACTTTTATTCACAGCAGAATGTAAGAAAACGACTGTGAGGATTTAAACAGGAGGGATATATAATAGATGCCGCCCCACTTAGTATGGTGGTTATTGCACTCGGCTTGCAATAGAGTGGACTTGGGTTCGAATCCCAAATAAGGCATGGATGTATCTTCGGGAAAAGGAGTCGAACTTCACCTGAATTGGATTTCCGTCTCGAAGGGAAAGCAGCGCACTGCTATTCTATGCTGGGGTCATCGTTTGTAATAAAGGTTTGAATTGTATGTTTCTGTTCATCTACCTCTCGCGTCTTTCGTATGTATCCCAGTATGAAACATAAAACAACGTAATAAATCTGGGCAGCGGCGTAAAGTATACCCTCACAATCCCAACTTTGCTGGTGGGAGCAGGATTCAAGAGGGTCCAAAGCCTGACCTGACGCCAAACGGCTTGGGGCCCAAAACGTAATTTTGCAGGTAGGTCCTAATATTTCCTTTACGCCACTGGATCTGTGGGGTTGCAAATGATATGATTTAATTAAAATGATCGTATAATATAAGTTTGACTTTTTAGAAAGGTTACACAGTGCGAGTGCCAATATTGGTGGAGAAATCAATATCTTGTTCATAATATCAGAAGTGTAATTATTTGCCAGTGCTGAATTAACTATTCAGTTTGAAGTAAATCTTACACTATCTATCGTCTACTATACTCTTTTAACGATTGTAGAACTTTGTATATGCCAAATGCTAAGAATTGCAGAAAAAAGGTAAAGTGTTTTGTAGAAGCAGTGTTAATATCAATTCATAAACTAAACAGAAATTATTGTGGAATCAGGAAAAGAAGGATTTTTTTTTTTAAATCTTTCAAACTTTGTGAATTAATGTTTAGGTTCACCAAAGGGACTTTTACAACTCCAACATTTCCTTCAAACATTCATGTATTTTTTTTAATATTCCCTTTTTTTAGACAGACGCGTAAATTAATTTCAGCATTTTACTCCTTATTTTCAAACTTTTCTCTTGAAGAAATACAGGAAGCTAAATTCATATTTGTAATATTTCACACAAATGTTAAAACTTTGGAAAAAATTTTATCGCAAAGCGAAGAATTTGAAAGAGCAACTGAACTAAATAATGAAGATCTATCCACATGAAAATTTACAAAAAAGAAAAAAAAGATGGTACAATTGAGAAACACTGGATATTTTACTGGTATTAAATCAAATATGGTAACGTATAATGGATGTTAGACGAAGTTGTTTATTTTATCTTAGAATCTGTAATGAAATATTAAAACGTAACGGTGGTAAAACTGGAGTGCACATGCAAGAAAAGAAAGGTAACATGCTAGAAAACACCAGATAATAACTCTATACTTAACAGAAGTACAATGCACAGATACTAAAATAAGTTCCACCTTTACTAAAACATATATATTTGTCCTTTACCAACCATTCTAAGAAAGGAACACGAAATATTCTCGAACAATCGGTGTAAAGTAAGAAGCATGACAAGATACGCTACATTTTTAATTAATTAATTAATTAAAAGGTTAATTTATGTAATGAAAATTGCACGCACATAAATAAAGGAATTAAATTAACTAGTAATTATCGCTCCAGTAATTAACGAAACAACTCAGAAACCACACGCGCCGTCTTAAAGAAGTATCAAACAGGTATTTCCATTTCTGAACAACAATTTAAAAAGGCATCGAATGGGGCGGCGCTGATAATGTCCTGGGGCGCGAGAAGTGTTAATTCCCTCCTATTAACCCGCTGTCATCGCCACCTGCGCAATTAGGCGCCGCGGCGCAGTTATTTCGGATAAATATCGCGCCATTAAGGCTTATCTGCACATTCAGGAGCGCGTGTCGAATTAAGGCAATTATCCTTAGAATCAGTATTCGTTGAAACCAATCTTCTCGAACGATTGGTTTCGTTGCCACACTGAACTTGAGCTCTCTCGGGTCCTTCGCAAGAGATAGGATTCATAACTTGCTTAATTTTTCCAATTTATTTCTCTCAGTGGTAGTTAATAATAGTGCGAGTTCGCTTAACAATCGGTGATCGTTCGATTCGCAGACAGTAGGTGCCCACAAGAATCTCTGGTGGAAATTTCACAGAAATTTTAGTTTAAGGACTCTAGAGTATTAATATTTCAATAATGTGAGCGGAATTTAATTGTTGAAACGTGTGAAATCACATATTCCTTTGACAATTTTGTGATCAAGACGAGATCTAAGGCAGTTCGTCCCGATATATTTCGGTTAATCATTTTTAACAAAAAAGTAAATAGAATGGATGGCCGATGTAATTCAAATGCCAGATGATAATGTTGCCAAAAAGGTACAGCAGTTCAAAATCACTGTGATTCGGCAGCGTGGAAGATCAAGGCTGAGATGGACAGGCTCAATGGAATCAGACTTTGGGATTGTAAGCGAGAAAACTTGGAGAACAAAAGTCAACAAGAGATCATTTTGGAGGAGTCTTCAAAGGAAGGCATTGCCCAACGAGCGCTGTCTTGACAGATATGATGATTTTTAACTGGAAATGGAAACGGATTCTTCATTAAGAATCAATTGATTATATCTAATCAATCCAGCTTCATTTTTCATCCTCTACAAGTTTAATGAAAATAGCAAGCAGCTAAATTTAACGATTCAATACATAAAAATTTAGCACAAATTTTTATTTTCAAAACTTCTTATACTTTAAACTTTTACCAGAGTAATATGTTTGCATTAGGCGTTGAGAAAATACAGAAAGTCCAAAACTGAAATCGAAAGCATTTTGAAATTTAGACAAGTACCTTAAAATTTCTTGCCATTCCTTTTAAATTTATTTTCGATTAAAAATTAGTGAATGAAATGTGTTAATATTTGAATATTAAAGTAATTAAATAAATTGTAAAGTAACAAAAAATGAAAAATTATTTATTAGAGAAGGAAAGTTCTCTAATAAAAAATTTTCATAGAAAAAGGATGTATTAGAGAACATTTTAAATTTGACATTGAGACTAATCTTCGGTTTCAGGGACGTAAATAAAAAAATGGTAGAAAAAAAATATAACGTAACTGAATTATAATTTAACACGGGTTGTTTGTTATAAAGCTCAGAAGAATTTCACTCAAGCAAACAAACAAACAAAAAAGTCAAATTCTCTTAGAAATACCAAAGAAAAATCAAGCATAAGTAAAAAGACTGAAAAAAATTAAATATGGAGTTTGAATAAAGTACAGATGCAATGTGAACAAATTAAATACGGAAACTAGAATACAGTAAAATTTTTTATTTACATTATAGTATAGCTATGTTATCTATCATTCATGATAAGGAATCAACCTCAATACTAATACAAAAAAAGGGATTCTTAATATTTCTTAAATTATCAGCTTAACTCAAAAACCCAGAAAAGCAGTGGTAAAAATAATTAAGTGATTTAAAAAGAAAAAATAATGCAATCAAATTAATTGTAAGGTAAAATTAACTCTCCTCTCAAGAGAGGTTGCTTAGAAATTGAATTATTTCGTCTTTTGCAAGAGCTTAACCCTTTTGTCTTAAAACCATATTCTGTCATTGTCAATCCTTTGCAAATTTGGAAAACTTTGAAACTCGCAGTACTTCAGACAAGCACTGTCTGTGTTTGTGCATCATTTTTACTGGTGCCATGGTAGCTTGCCTTAGATCACTATATTTGGAGAAAAATATTTTTGTTTAATTTTTATATTAAAAATATTCAAATATAATTTTATTTAATGAGCGTGATTGTAAAATTTTGACGTAAATAAAGCAGAAAATATAAATACAAGTTTTCACAGTGAAAATAATAAGTCGGTTTCTTTTCAATTTTTGAAATTTAACACTAAAAGATTAAAGATTCTTCTCAATTTTAGAACGTTCCAGGAAGTAATCATTTAACAGTTTATCCCCTCATCAGGACCCGAACATTGTTAATTTTTTTGTTAATTTGATTGTTAATTTGAACAAATTAAAAAGTTTAAGACAATTAAAAACTATAGAAGAAATAGCCCTATTAGCATGAAATTATAATAACTGGAAGAGCAGATAGAGAGGTATCGAATGAGCCAGATCCGAATGGACTGCCTGGCTCGGGTGCCGAGATATTGGAAGATGATGATATTGTAGATGGAGGAATGCACAGGGGGTATGCGTCCCAACAGATATGGTTTATAACAATAGTTATTATTATCCCCCAAATATCAGTTCCATAGCACCAAAAAAGTGGCATGTTAAAATATTAGACAACGGTGCGCACGTGCGCGCGTGCGCATCGGTGTCGTGAAGGTAAGCGCACGCATCCGTGACGGTGTGCGCGCGCATCGTAAAAATTTACCCTCATCCTTTTTCCCTAACGACCAAAAAGAAGGATAACTTCAAAAATAAATATACGAATACAAAAGGTTCTTATAATTTGCTACAATTAAATAAATGTGTTTATGTTCATCGCAATGCATTCGTAGTAAATACATCTATAATCATATACTTGCAATTGTTATTTAAATAGAAAAACTAATATTTACTCTTATGTTTTATGTACATAAAACACAATTTAAAATTAATTTAATTTTTTTTTTAATTTCCTGTAAATATGTTTGGTTTAATAACAAAAAGTGTTCAAACAAATGCATCAGAGAAGTTTCCATAGACGGACGATCTCTCCCTACTAGTAGTGACATCGCAAATCAGCGCAAAGCAAAGGTTCGCTGACACGGAGGGCTTAGCTCAGTGGTAGAGCATTCGACTGCTAATCGAGAGGTCCCCTGTTCAAACCCGGGTGTTCTCTTCTTCAGGGAAGTGAAGAGAAACATTTTTGAGAATTTCGAAGGCGGGAACGATCTGTCCCGTTCTATATATTTCTAGACAAAGCATTTTCGTATCCGTTCCTACGGAAAGCAAAGGTTCGCTGACAAGGGGTATAGCTCAGAGGTACAGCAATCGACTGCAGATCGAGAGAACCTTGGTTCAAACCCAAGAATCAGGGAAGTGAAGAGAAATATTTTTTTGAGAATTTCGAAAGCGGGAACGATCTGTCCCGTTCTGTATATTTCTAGACAAAGCATTTTCGTATCCGTTCCTACGGAATGCAAAGGTTCGCTGACTAGGGGGTATAGCTCAGCGGTACAGCATTTGAATGCAGATTGAGAGGGCCTCGGTTCAAACCCGAGAGCCCCCTTCTTCAGGGAAGTGAAGAGAAATGTTGTTTTTGAAAATTTGAAAGCGGAAATGATTTGTCCCGTTCTGTATACTTCTAGTCAAAGCATTTTCGTATCCATTCCTACGGAACGCAAGGCAAAGGTTCGCTGACGTCGGTGTATAGCTCAGTGGTAAAGTATTCGACTGCAGATTGAGAGGTCTCCGGTTCAAACCCGGGTGTCCCCTTCTTCAGGGAAGTGAAGAGAAATATTTTCCTGAAAATTTCGAAGGCGGCAATGATCTGTCCCGTTATGTATATTTCTAAACAAAGCCTTTTCACATCCGTGACGGTTTTGCTTCACATCCGTGATGGTTGTGCTTCTCATCCGTGACGGTGTGCGCGCGCATCGTAAAAATTCACCCTCATCCTACTTCTCTAACGCCCCAAAAGAAGTATAACTTCAAAAAAAACCACCTTCCACACATGTTTGTTAGCTATTAGTAATATATTTACAGATCTAATTAAATAATAAATTAAAGTTTTTTTAGCTACAATTTTTTTATTTACTTTTATTGAAAACAATTTTAAAATCCATGTTTGGCGACTGATTACGATCCTAAGTTTTACTTCTGATATTTTTAAGTTTGTTTACCTATTCGAAAAACTTCAGCATTTTCAACAAGTCATGGTGATTGAGTTCTCTTGGTCTTGTATTCGTCACAGTCAGTGCTTCTGCCTCGTGGTGGTTTTGCGTACTTAGTCCAATAAAGATTCGACGTATTACGAAACTAATAACCAGTTAAACTGCGTGGCATCTGCTGTTTTAAGTTTTCAAGAATGGTCAGTTCTCGTCATTTGACCGTTGCTCAAATTTACTGGATACTTGCCAATACCCCTCGTATTGCTTTTAAGTGCAACGTTGATTTAGAGTTAATTAATATCATCAATAAACTTTAAACAGAACCATAATCAATTAGTGGTATCACAAAAAAAATCATGAGTAGTTACATTGACAAATAGTATTCTAAATATTAAATAGACCATTTTAAAACTAAACACAATCACTGAGTTCTAAAGCATTTCATCATTGATTATCATAAAGAATATAGAAATGTACTGACTATATCTGAGATGCTTTAGAATGCCAAAGTTGCTACACAATCAATAGGTCGTTGATCTAAATATTCAGAAGAAAAAGGATAACCCCGATGTCATTATCTTCATTCGATGAGGAATTTAAAAATGAGAGCCTTATACACAGGATTTACTTTTTTTGTCTTATGAAATGAAACGAAATATAAAATCTTCCGTTAATTTTACAATTACTAAGAACATTTAAAATTCCATGCCCGGAATTAGAAAGTTTGCGTGTTTATACACGCATTACTGTTATACTAGAAAGAAACTTCAATTGAATGAACATTCACCCTCATGAATAATAAAAATGATCCATTGATGTGTGAAGTTTATAGGTTTAGAAAAGTTTAAAGGACAAAAACTATATAACAAAAGAGGACAAAAAAATGAGTTTGAAAGAAATTTTATGGATACCGAGGGTCGTTCACATAAAAGGAAACATAATGTTTGCTGTTAAATATGAGATATAATTCTAAAGATTTTTTCAGAGTAATTTCAAGGAATCACACACACACACATAGAAAAAGGGAACATCGATTTTAAAAAATTCAATATATTCTCATGGTTGGTTGGTTGTCGTGTTTATGAAAATGGAAAGTTATTTTTAAATAGAACCCGAAAGCCCTATATACCACCTCGGTAATGTCCAGTGAGTGAGTGAATATTAACGTCGCACTGTTCAGCTACACGAGGGCTTTTGGCGACAGACCTCCTAATTTCGAACCATGGTCAAGTGACGTCGGCAATGTCCAGACAGTTGTCCGAATGCAGATCGTCTGAGGACATTCACTAATTCCCTTCAAGATCGCCAGAATTGCAAGAAAGAGTTAAGGTTGATCAGGGGTCATTTCTATGCCCTACATTGCAGTTACGTTCTTTCATTTTGTTGACGGGGCTTTATAGCGTCTTCTCACTAATCCTCTTGGGGAATCTTTGGGGCCAGATGGTATTATTTCATTCCATTCATCTCAAGAAAAAGCAGCGATGTGCAGATTAGTGAATACATACAAAAGGGAGCGTTAGCATTCGCGAGTTAGTAGGATAGAAGCCGGATAGTAGGATAGAAGCCGGATATTAGAATAGAAGTCGGATAGTAATAGAATGGAAGAATAATAGTAGAAAAATAGAATACAAGAAGAGACAGAAAGTCGAGGTACTGATCGCCGTTATATATTGGTAAGAGACAGTAGTTCACACAGGAATCTTTTCAAAGGGGGGTCAGGGTTGAAAGTTACCATTCTTTATCAAGCTATTTTTGGATTTTGTCGATTTTCAGTAATAAAACACATTAAAAACTAATTATTGAACAATAATTAGCATTAATTAATAAAATTAATCATTAATAACAATTATTTAATTAAATTTTACGTATTATATACTTAGAATTATAACCAATCGGAAAAATCAAGGGCTTTGGGGGTCCGGACCAGGCCCCCCCTTATTGCCCACTGGTAAGATATTAATTATAGAAGAGTAATTATAGAACGGACTTTAGCTTATTAAGGAGTCGACAGTAGATAAAATTCTGAGGTTAATTTCTCATAAAGATAGTGAGTAGAATTTCAGGCGCTATTTACTTAGAATTGATAATTTCGTAGTATCACTCCAGATCATATCCTTCTAGTAAGACTTCTGTTGCGTTGATCAATATATATTTCGACAATAATGAATTAGATTTATTATGGAGAATTTGAGTGATCAGTCATTTATATATTCCTACAAATCTAGGTCACTTAGGTAAAGAGATGATACCCCCGGGCCGTGGGGTATCACAATCTTTCTGAATTTTCATTCCTCTCAGGTGTCGTATCCTGAGTCTGGTGAGAGAGTCCTATTTGCGATGGGTAGTTCAGAAATTTCGTATTTAAATTTTACAGTTTTTCTTTGAATCTAGATCTTGTCACTGAGTTTATATTGCTCAGTGTGACTACAAAAAGTAGTTTACCACTGTTTAGTTTTCTTTCTGCTTTAGCTAAGGCGGTGCTTCTCAAACATTCAGTATTTGCGATCCCATTTGCGATTATAATCTTCGTCGCCCTTCCCCCTTCTCTACAATAATAATGTGTTGAATGCAACAATAACGTACTTTGACGCTAAAACTACTATACGATCTTAATTGTAAACCGTACAAATTATCAGATAAGTATTAAAGTTTTATAATTTACTTTTAAGTAACAGATCTTTTACTTTTAAAAGTATATTACGTTATTTCTTCTTTTTCTAACTTTTAAATTAGAACAGACTGCAATAAACATGCAAGTGTATTTTATTTTTTATTGTGTTAGAATGTATTTTGTTTTGCTTTCTTCCAGTATAAATGAATAATTTTCCAAAATAATCTTTTGTTTTCAACTTTTCGATGTGCTCGCGCCCCTCACGTAGGATTATCATGCCCCCCAGTTTGAGAATCACTGAGCAAGGGCATCAGCGATCTCGTTTTCATCAATTCCAACATGGGCTGGTACCCATTGCATGATGCACTTATTATTAAATCTGAGAATTTTGTGCGGATTATTGTGTATGTTCAGGACAAGCACTCAGTCTCCTTTTTGAGTCACTTGAAGGGCAGCTGTGGAGTGGCTGAATATAATTACTCCTTCAGCTTTCTCTGCATCTAGGAGACTTAATTATTTTTTCAATGCTATATCAATGTCTTGGAGCTGGATGAGATATTTTTCTGTTCCGACATTGAATTTTTTTGTACTGCTACCCATCAGAAAGGTGACATTGATACTAACTATTCCATTTTTAAATTCTCATCTGAAAATCCGCCAGTGAAAATAAAAACATAGTTTTCTTTTGAGTATATGAATCAATGGTTTTGATTCCTTTGGCTTTAATACTTTCATAAATGAGTGAAGTTAAGTTTTTAACACGTAATATAAATTTTTTTAAGTCAATTCCTACTTAGATCAACAAATTTTTTTATTATTTCAGCTGCTTTTTATTAAATAGTTACAATTAATATAAATATGTATATACATATGATAGAATCACAACATTATAAAGTATCGTATTGTCATCCAAAACAATCGTTTCTATAAAATTTCAGTTCAACTGAATGCTTTAAAGCGTGAGAAAAGAACCTTTTCAAGTTTTGACACACAAGTCGCCAAAAATGATGCCAATGTGGCTGTATTTGAAATTCTTTAAATAATTAGTTAATCAATTAATTTGTATTAATTATAATTATAAATTATTGTATTGTCATCAAAATAATCATGTATATAAAATTTCAGCTCAATTGAGCGCTTTTAAAATGTATTTTATTAACGATTGAAAATTCCACCAAGATAAATAAATAAATAAATATATAGAGTGTGAGCTAATAGTAGGAATTGAAAAACGATAGCTATCTCTAATTTCAGCATTATTTAATGAATTGACAGATTATTAGCACTACAGCATAAGACATATTGATGACGATTTCGTAATTCTGAACCATGATAAAGTGACGAGGGTGATAACTGGACTAACGTCTTACTTCCGAATCATCCAATCAACGCCAGGCTGCGAGCTTGGACAGTATTAACGCGTATCAACCCCGTAACACGGCGAATTTATGGCAACACTGTACACCCACACTACCCGACAGAAGTATGACTGGCCTCAAGTTTGCGACCTTGATCAACTTGGCTACTGCAGTCGTTATGTCATGCAAAGATCAAATATACTATTCGTTACGAAGCATGCAAAATTAAAATCCC